ATATGTGTTGTTGTAGTCAATTCTAGCTTATATGCATACATACCCCTTGATAATAGGTTAGTGTCATCGTCCGTGCGTTTCGCTGGGCTGCCGTCTGCCCCTCTGCTGACTATGGGTGTGGATCCTCCGTCGTCGTGGAGTGTAATGGCGCACAAAGCACTGTACGATTTGGATAATCTTCACTTGGCGTCAGTCACACACGATGCTGTAGTGGCTACATACGCGATCACTTCTATTCTGCTTGAAGGTGTGTGTGAGTGTATGTGTATGTATATGTGTATGGGAATGCGTTTGTTTTTGGTTGTTGTATGTGTATGACCTTCCGTTTCGGTAGATTTATCTGTATACACACTCATATATGAACATCAACCTATCCTTCTCAACCCAATCTCTCGCTTGTTGTACCGTGCAGGTCACTGTTACGATGGTAACCAGCCGCCACAGGGGCTGCAGTTTGACTTGGGAACTGCGTTTGTCCCGCATGTCACCGACTCACTGGTGATGAACAACCTGGGCTACTTTCAGGTGAGTTTAGCCAAACCCTAAACCCTACAACCTTACCTTGAGCTGCATTATAGGATTGGTTTTATGCACTTTGCAGGGCTGAACTTGCATTTCTTCATTTCGACTTCGTGCTTGTTCAGATATGAGATTCTCAATGGTTGTTGCGTAAAAAAACATCCCCATATCCTTTCCCAAATTTACGTGATATATTATTCCCGATTTTAGTTGTAACTAGTTGTAGTTGCGATTACAGTTCGTTCTACTTGTAGTTTCTACAGATACCCGTGGCTGGTGTGACCACATCGCTGTGTGTGGTGTATGTTGTTGCTTGGCATGTGGCGGTACTCTTCCCACCGAATACATACCTATAACCACACGAGCCGCTCTACATTAAAAATATATTCCGGCTGTTCCTTTGACCGATGTACGGACAGATTCCCTTTCCTGTATTCCGATTGGCAGCCATACTCACAGCGTTTATTTCCCTGATTTTGATTGGCAGTTGAAAGCTAATCCTGGAATTTGGCGGCTTGCCATTCGCCCCGGTCGATCTTCAGAGGTGTATAAGTTGACCACCGGCAAGGCATACCGCGAGATATTTATAAATAGATTTGTGAATCCAATAGAAACGGTGCAGGTGAGCTCAGGATGAATGTGGGTGACTGTTTGTTTTGATGCGTTTTACGGGTGGACAGTTTCAATGTCACTGCGTAGTGTTCACCTGTTTGCCTCTGTCTTGTACGTAGTTAATGTACAGAGTGGTGTATACTTCTCGCTCTGTGATCCTTATTCTGCCATTGAAAATCGAATTGATCCGCAATAGACGTATACTGTTCTGCTAGTCCATGACTTAATAACTCTCATGCACTCTGATCGTGTATGGCAGTCATGTAACCTCATTCCACTGATTCTAAATGAATAGGTGCGCAAACGGCGGGGGCAAGAAGAGGCGTCTGTGTTGGATGCGGTGGATAGCGACGATGCAGAACAAGCAAGTGACAGCCTCTGGTCTTCATTCAAGGGGTAGGATCGAACTCGCACTTTGTATGTGTACCTATATA